CCTGCCCTCTCTGTCCTGGTAGAGAGAGAGAAAGAGAAAGAGAGAGAGAGAGAGAGAGAGAGAGGGAGTAAGGACTTCGGAGGCTCTTTGCCCCGAAGCTCAGGTGCTCTGGTGAGGCTTGTGTTACACATCTTGGACCGGTCCCGACCATACCCGACCCGTCCCGACCCGATGTGCGAACGTCAAGCTCGGCCGTGAGTTGGAATGGTTGGAGATGGTTGGAGCAGGGCCTCGAACCACACTCGCCCCACCACAACTTGAAGTTGTTTGTCGGACCCTGAACGGGGGAGGTCAGAGGTCGGAAGGTTCAAGTCGGCTCAAGAGCTCAAGGCAAACCGCATGCCACGCGCCGCAAGGCGCCGTTGTGACCGTGGCACCTAGTCATCTATACATATAGTATTCAATGCAGATTTGTGAAAAATTGGTTCCAGTAGACCTTGCATGTATCGTGAGCAACCGTGAGTCGTGCAAATCGGCAAACAAGAGCAGGGATCTTGTCGACAACAAGTCCGAAGGCGCACTTCTCGCTCTCTAGAAGACTCCCAGATTTACGCGGCTTGATACCTCCCAGTGGGTGGAACAGCTCTCATCACAAGCATTCCTCCCAGTAAGGCAACCTTGGCTCTTCGTTTGAGCATCGTCGATTTTCAACAACAGGCCCGAGACAAGACAGTTGTCAGAGTTGTCAAACTAGAGGCGAACAGACCTCAACGTCGGTACCCAGTTTGTTGATGTGATCTCACCGTTTGTTCGATTCTTTCAGGGCGTTATACCTCTTCTTCGGCTTTGCGCGCTTTCATCTGCGGCATGGTGTGCCCTGGCACAATCCTGTGGCACCTGGATGCTACAAGAGGGTCACTGTGACTTTTCGCAGTGTGCCAGTCCCCCGTGGCCAGAAGAGGCCTGCCGATGAAGGTGAAGGCAAACAATTGCGGTTGCACGACGTGCTGGATTCCTTCTCCTTCACGGGCGCAGCCAAGCGAGCGAGACTTGTGCCAGGCTGCTTTCCGGGATCCCTGAATCTTGGCATGCGGCACAATGTCAGAGGCAGAGAATGCATTGACATCGACTCGAGTGATGGCGAGACTGCGAAAGCATGACAAAAGCTCGAGTCTCTCACATCTAGCATAGGGAGCTCGGTCCTGCCACTGATATCAAGCATCTTTCGGATTGCGCCAGTTGTGTTCCAGCCCCACGCCAAGACATGCGCACAGGCTTGAAGAAGTACCTTGACGAGAAGGAAATCTTCCGCATGGATCACTACCTCGCGAAGACTTTAGTCAAGCTCTTGGAAACAGGCAGCCCAAACAGTGTATTGAATCATCTCTGGGATGTATTGGCGACCGCTGGTTCTTGCCAAGGTCTTGAACCTGTTGACTCTGCGCTTCGCGAATCGTGTGGGCCAGACTTGTGTTGTCTAGCATGTGCGCAAACATCCAGCGTATGTTCAACTGAAGCTCCAAACTGGGATGGGGCTCCAGGAATTGGGACATCTTTTCCATTGCCATCATGTGGCAAACGCGGGAGTCCATGAGTTTGCTCTTATTGAGGATGTCGTGCTGCCGAGATTTACTGTGTTTGGACATGAGGTGAGGATAACATTCAAAGAGGCGATCGGCGTGCAGGGGCGTTGGATTCCCAGCACTTCCATGTCTTCCCCGCTGTCGACAGTAAAGTTCAGCCGAACTCTAGACACAGGTGCAGGCTATTTCGATGGCTACGGCATCATCCGCGACATCATGCAGCAGCTAACCCAGTGCTGGCATTCGCATCAATGTTTGTCCCCGTGCCCTTGAAGCTCAAAGTTCTGCACAGCCCGTCAGAGGCAGTCGTGCTGACGCCAGTTTTGTGGGTGCAGCGAAGGGTTTTTGGAGTGTTCTGGATGGCAGGAGCGATTGCTCTCAGGGCAAGCGGTGTGCTCAAACAGCATTTACTGTTGAATTGGTGTTGCCTTTCCTGTCCGAGGCTCTGGCACACATATTATATGGTTAATCGAGTTGAGAAGATGCAGCACCCCGACAGCCCAAAATCAGCCCGGAGTGGGATCCAAGAACTCAAAGGAGAACAGCATCCCTAGGCCCTAGTTGGTGTCGGCCGTCTTTGCAACCATGTGTTCTGCAAGCAGGTTTCATCGATCACTGTGCAAATCGAGACCAAAACAAGGCCACAAAACACAGGGATTGCACAATGAAGATGGATCTTCGGCTGCCTAGACTTACTTGGTGCACGCGTACGCAAGCAGCCAGTGGGTATTGCAGGCTTTTGTGTGACGATGGGTTGGAGAACATGTACGACAATCGAAACTGTGCCGTGTCGTCTCATCACATGTTATCAAGTCCTTACGCAAGTAGGGTGCAAGACTACGTGCAGCGCCCGAAAGTAAGGGCTCCGGAATGTCGTCATGTACACGTTTCCACTTACTACGTGACGTATAGGGCAAAATGACACACGAAGTTGAGCTGGATGGCTCAGACCTTAGAGAATATGTAGGATTATGTAGGATCATTTGACAACAGCAAATAAGCCCCAAAACAGCCTTAGCTGGCTGCGGACATGCCACGTCAGATGTGTGCAGACGCGCCGGCCCTGCGTGGCCGTAAGGCTGCCGGGTACCCTTTTTTTTGCCTTGTCCGAGCTCCGGCCTATCGCCACTACCTTTTGGTAGCTTTTCCTGACCAGCCTGTGTCAGCCTTTTGCTGTATTTTTAGATCTTTTCTAGATGCTTGGTGTAGAATGATTTACCTTTAATTTTAGCTGTTCCTCACCTATTTTCGATCTCAGTTTGTTTTGTGGATACTGGCATTCAGGAACCGCTAACTCAAACACGCCGCTTGAGCCACTTGACCACTGGCATTTGCAAAAATTCAACGTCTGTTCAATTGGCATGTGCATCTTTGCCACTTGAATCGTGCATATTCAGGGGTGGGACAGGTGAATCGTGCCGCTTCAGGGGTGGGTGCCACTTGTGCTGAAGTTTAGGGTTTCGGGTCTTTAAGGGTTTTAGTCAGTTTTAGTGTTTAGGGGGTTCAGGGATCCGCGCTTCAGGGTTTTAGGGTTTAGTGTTTTAAGATTTAAGTTCAGGGTCTAAAGTATTAGGGTTTCAGGGCTTCAGGGGTTTCGGATTTTGGCTTTGGGGTTTCAGGGCTTACGGTCTAGGGTATTGTCACTACATTGTTATTGTGATCATTCTGCTGATGATTTTTCTTTTTGTCTTATTCTTAATACTTGTATTAGTATTCATATTATTGTTACACCTGCTGGCAGTACTGAAGCCTGCACTGCAAGTGGCACTAGCGACAACAATTGGGGCAAGTGGGGTGAAAGCAAAAGCTGCAGAAAAGGTGGGAACTGGAAGGTGTCAAGGATGCTGGGGAGCTGTGCGCGAGAACGCACGAGAACGCATGTGCAGCAAGCAACGCAACTGGGGGTGTCCTGACACAGAAACCGGGGCCGGGTATTAGCACCAGCCTGGCAGGGAGTAGCTGGGTAATTATTTGCTTATTCTGTAGCTTTCCTGTTGAGTTGGAATTAGTCACTGAGTTGTGCCGTTGTAGCCTTTGTTTACCTCTCTCCCGCCGTTGTTCATTCACTCCTATGTGTGTGTGTGTGTATATATATATATATACATACACACATTTAGGTATCCCACGTTCAAAAGCTAGAGCTATAACTCCCGATCGTGCACCCCTTACCTGTGGAACAACGCTCTTTTGCACCAAGGAATCACCTCATGCAAGTGCTCACTCTGGTTGCCATGGAGGCAGGATGCCGCGAAGACTCGTCCTGCTTTTATCCTATCTTCTTTCGAGCGTTCACGTCTTCGAAAATTTACCCACCCGGAGGCCCCGGCTACACTCGAAGCTGAAGATGTTCGGGACGAGAAGGCTCCAAAAGTGCAACAGGGGTTCTTCGGTTCATGCAATATTAGCAGAAGCCAGCGGAAATCGCAATATGCATTTGTCCAAGTCCACATATAGACATACTGTACTTGTCTGACATTATGGCGTCTGCTGATGAAGGTGAAGGTGTTGAAGCAAATCAGGCCCATCTCACCACGCCTCCTCCTCAACGCGTGTGCGCACGGCCTCAGTATGCATCCGACCACGATCACGGGAGTGCCCTCAGGTGATTGTGTAATCGGCCAGTACGAGTCTTTACTGCATGCAGTATCAGCTCTGTGCTCATGCTATATTGCAGTTGGGCATGTCAGGAAGGCTATCAGACAGACCCTGACATCCAAAAGATCAATCTCAAGCAAGGCCGTCCTCCCAGCATACGTCAACGCCGCAAGAGCCCAGAGTAAATTGCACTTCAAGAACCCGGCACCAAGGCTACGCATCTCGCTGCCCGACGTTCGCAGTCGCAGTGCTTTACCTGGACAACGAACGCTGGTCATGCACTTCAGTCCCACTGTGATGGAGCCGTTGCCTGGCATGTCATCTCGAGCCAATGGAGGTCTGGAGTTCCATTCATCATGAAAGCCGGCAAAGGCCGGTGGAAGTCGGGATCACCATGGCGCATGTCTGGCGGTCGGAGAGGTCTGGAGGTTCAACAGACCATCGTCCGCATACAGCCCGTGCCTCAGCAGGCGGTGTTGAGAGCCAGATCTTCCGGTAAGTCCGTGGCTGCAATCGCTGTAGGTTCAAGAAAGCTCCGCCAAGCAGCCTCTTTGGCGCCTCCGTCCCAGTTGCGGCTCAAGGCCAAGGGTCGAAGGGAACTTCCTGTGGAGCTCGCAAGGAGCAACCTCAAAACGAGCTGGTGATCCGGATCCAGCCCAACGAGGCCATCTACTACAAGGCCGGGGCCGGCCATAGCCGCCATAGCCGTGGCCTTGGCTTCGCAGCAATCGTTTGGTAGCGTAGTAGCCGAGACAAGGGACAATGAGCGAGAGAGGACATGCAGGTGCGCGCACGCGTGCGGGGGAAGGGGTGTCCGCCCCTTTCCTC